ACTCATTACCTTACTCATGTAACTGTAACCCCTCTGTACACCATCTTTACAATTAAAAAAAGAAGCCAGAATAAATCGAAAGCCTGCTTCTTTCCTCTTCAGTCTGGTGGCTGTAGGAATCTCCACTTTCTATTTCAGAAATTTCCAGATGTAGGCTGATAGCTTGGATGAGTAGTGACAGCAAAGTAGCTTGCTTGAGTGTTATAAATTTTCACCATTTAATCCTTAACTTCAATTATGTCATTGAGCACTAAGTGTAGCCAAACGCAGGGGAAGAGCTGTGGTGTGAATGGCTGAGGAAAGGGCAAGAAAGTCAAGCTGAATCATTTCATTATTCCCAAATCCCCAAATACTCTTTCAGAAGGGGAGAATATTAAGAAGTATGGACAGAGAAGGTAAGAAACATGTGAAAATTAGTTTGGGGCTGTCCTCGGTCAAATCCTGGTTTTCATGGGTTCACGGTGCTTAATTGTTCTAAACTTAATTATGCCTCCCCTCCCCTCCCCTCCCCTTCCCTCTCCTCCCCTCCCCTCCCCTCCCCTTCCCTTCCCCTTCCCTTTCCTTTCCTTTCCCTTCCCCTCCATTCTCTTCCCTTCCCTCCCCTCCCCTCCTCTTCCTTTTTATTCTTTAAATGTTGTTATTGGTATATGAATTAATAAAAAGTAACTGATTATAATTCTTTATCAGAAAATTCAGTGTTCTCTCCAGCGGGGGCACAATCACTAGAGAGTCACTTGTTATGAATATGTAAAACACACGGTTAAAACTCAAAACTCTTCAAAAGACTAGACAAATCTCTCTTTTCCTTCACTCCTTTATAGGTTAGCATAATAGTTTACTATTTTCATTAGCTTCTGAAAATAAAATAAAATAAATTGGAAATATAAGTAAAACATAGATATCACATACATTTTTTATTTCGCCATTTACTTACCCCAAAGGGAACATAGTAAATAGCATTTTCACCTTGCCTTCTGCTTCGCAATATATTAGGAAGTAAATACTGGTTCATACAGAACTTTGCTTTTTGTTTGGGATCATTTCAAAGTATACCATTGTGTACCTTAGTTTATTCAGCCCATCTTCAATGAACAGCTATTTAGGCTGTTTCCAAAGGTTTACTACCACAATTAATACCACTGTGAATAATTGCACATATACTTGTCTTCTCTTACCTAAGGCTTATCTTTCCACAGTTTCAATAAAAAGCTCTTTTGTAATTCAGTTGAAAGCCATCATTAAGTCAATTGTGATCTAAGTATGGGCTTCCAATCTTAGGTCATAATCAAATGTCATATCTATTACTACATTCTCTAAATGAAAATAAAAAGGTAGGCTCAAAACAGTAGGTAAAATCACTCTATTTGCTTCTCTTACCACAATTAGTGGAGAAATGTAAACCAGAACACTTAGATTTTTCTTTGTTAAAAATTTCATTTCAAGATACAAGGAAAGACAAAGAATTTGACATCAAATACTCTTGGAATGAACTGGTCTCATTTAAATGCCCTTTGTTTATACTTTAGAATGAAGCAAAATCAAATCCCACAATAGTGAAAACACTCTGTTCTATCGAGAGTATCAGATTTAATATTTTTCTCCAGACAAAATCACTGGTTTTTGGTCATGGGTTTAGTTTTCAGTCTACTTTATGGTAATCTGTCTTCTACCCAGGAATTGGGTGAGATGCCTATCAATCTGAAAATCAGTTTTTTGTTATTAGTTATAAAAGGTAGATATTAATCTATGGTGTTCTAAAAATCTGGAAAGGATGATAAAACTCAAAAATATTCATAATTTCTCAATAACTATTTCTTACATAGTTTAGATAAAATGTCTCCAAGTGACTGATTTTACTTTTCTCTAATTCCTCTAGAAACTGTCTAGACCTGGTCCAAAAATGAATCTACCTTATTAAAATAGAGCAAAGACCATTTTTCCCAAAGGATTATGCCTTGTTTTAGTAAAATCTTTCCTTAAACTATTCATATTTTTAAATGGGTTCTGGTATAAGGGCTTGAGCTCAGGTCTGGCATACTGTCCTTAAGTTCTTTTTCATTAAAGGCTGGCACTCTACCACTTGAGCCATATATCCATTTCCAGCTTTTTGATGATCAGTTGGAGATAGGAGTCTCATGGACTTTTCTGCCCAGGTTGGCTTCAAACGGTGATCCTCACGACTCAGCCGCCTGGGGAACCACGCAGGTGTGAGGCCACTAGCACCCACACAGCTGAAGTGTATATTCTTATACAATTATATAATTTAACAAATTATGTCTTCTTCAAATCTTCCTTATAGTTCTCATCTTTTTACTCTTCTCTGAAGAGAAAGATAGCCTTCCTCTAATTATTGAACCACAGGCAAATACGATTAGAGGAAATTTTAAATCCCTGGGACTGTTGAGCATGCATCTCTGTTTTGAATTTGGGGAACTCTCAAATTCTCTCCAGTAAGCTTTTGCTAACAATGGGATTATGTGTTGATAAATTTATCCATTATGCTTAATCTGGATGGCCAACTTGATTAGATTAAGAAATTCTCAAGAAATCTAGTAAAGTCTATCTCTGGTATGTCTGATAGGGAGTTTGGAGAAATGATTTGGCAAGAAAGAGTTCTGATCTAATGAATGAATGAATGTCACGACTGATGGATAACGTGGTAGCATTATTTGGAGGTGGTGGAAAACAGGAAGTGGGTCACTGGGTCATGTTTGGGCCTCTATTTTCTCCTGGTCCCTTCCTGTCTTCCTTTCCTCTGGTTTCTGTTGGCCATGATGTAAGCCTGGCTAGCCATGCCTTCTCTGTCAGGGTGGACTGTCTCCTTTGAAAATGGAGCCTGTAAGCTGGGCGCTGGTGGCTCACGCCTGTAATCCTAGCTACTCAGGAAGCTGAGATATGAGGATCGCAGTTCAAAGCCAGCCCGGGCAAGAGAGACTGTGAGACTCCTATCTCCAATAAACCACCAGAAAACTGGAAGTGGCGCTGTAGCTCAAGTGGTAGAGCGCTCGCCTTGAGCTGAAGAGCTGAGGGACAGCGCCCAGGCCCAGAGTTCAAGCCCCACGACCGACCAAAAAAAAAAAAAAGAAAAGAAAATGGAGCCTGTAGAAGTCTTCCTCCTTAGTTATTCTTTCTGGCATTTTGGTCACAGCCAGACAAAACTGAAAATAGGATTAAGCTGAAAATGCATTGATTATTCAACCTGCACCCTAGTGTAAATATGCTCAGAACCCCAATATTTGTCTACATTTGGGCAAAAATCTTCTAGACACAAGGATTATCTTAAATATCTCATGTAATTTAGCAAAATAGACCAATTATATCTAAAAATGCTGATACCATGCACCAGTTATATGTAAATAATTAATATTAATACCATATAGCATTAGCTGTTTATTTTTGCGACCGTGTGGCTGACTGGGAGCTTTGGTTAGCTGCTTCTGCCCTGCATCACAAATGGACCACATATTGCTATCCCAAGGGAAAAATAAAACTCCAAATCTGAAGCATAGTTTCTATTTGGTGTGTTATCACTTTTTATATCATGGTAAAGCTGAAATCAGGTAAGTCAAACCACCATTCAATCACGGATGTTTGCATATTAATTATGCATTTACTATGACTCAGACATTTTCTAGTTCTTGCAGGACAAGAGCATGTTATCTGGTATCTAGAAAAACATGTTATATAGCAAAGATTATATCTGTCAGCTGTAAAAAGTGTTATGATTGGCCTATAAGTGAAGGGGGACAAATAACATATGAATCTATTCTATTGCACAGCTTGACAGAGGTTCAAAAATAGGGGGTATCTGAGTCACACACACACACACACACACACACACACACACACACACACACACACAGTGTCAACCCATGAATTAGCCCAATACATAGAGACTTCATAAATTCAGAGAAATTTCAGGGTTTGAAATGTGGAAAGTAGCAACATTTAAAATATCCCTGCCCCCTCCAGTGACCCCCCTATGTTTTGTACCTGTCCTATAGCTGTCCGTCGGGGGCCTCCTAGAAGATCTATTTCCAAATAAGCTGTTCATGTCAGAATACGCCTTACAGCAAGACTCTAGGTACAGCACCTTTGAACTCCCTGTTTGAAGGTCAGCACTTACAAATAATAAACAACTAAAAGTTCTAACAGGAGCAACCTTTTGTAACGTGAGCCCAACTCTGATGTGTTTCTTCTTGTTTTCAAGTCAGTTGTTTCCAATATGGAATCTCCAGATGGACAAGGTCTGCCTGTTACTCCTTCTATGGTGTTTTCCCTGATCCCATCTTTAGTGGAGTCATGGAAGAAAGGTGGACACAGGTGGGCCACTGTGATCATGCTGATCTTGTTACTGTTCCTACCTCCACGCTAAGATCCTCACAAACACACCATTTTTTGTTGTTATTGTTGGTGGACATGGGGCTTGAACTCAGGGCCTAGGCGCTGTCCCTGAGCTTTTATGCCTGTGCTGGCTTGGAACCACAATCTGCTGATCTCAGCCTCTTGGGTAGCTAGGGAAACCTTTCCATCTCTCTACCCATAAGCTTTTGCATTTCATATACCAAATGAGTTACGCTAAGTATATCGATCTTTGCTTATGTGTGTCTGCTATTAATGTTTCAAAAATATCACACTCATTATACTCCTACATTGTTGTGTTGAATTGAAACAACTGCTCAGATAATTAAAAAAAAATAGTGACCCCAAGATGCTAAGAGGCAGAGTCCCAGGTTCCCCCTCACACATGCTCAGGAAGCATTCTATCACTCTATCCTGGCACCGGACATCCACAGGGCCGAGGGGCCCAGCCAGTGCTTCAGAAGCAAGGGCATCCTCACCGTGACCGTGCTCAGACGGGAGAAAGCCCACACCATGCATGTTGATGGGCCACTGGTGGTGAGAACAATGACAAGAGTCTTTACTGGAGCTACAGCAGGACGAGGATAGGTACAAAAGGACACAGTGACTCCAGCTCCTAAGGAAGGCAAGTGACATACCCACACTGCATCCCAGACATCCTTCCTCACAAGGCAGGCATTCTTCGTAGTCAGAGTCTTGCACTTCACCTGTGCAGTAAAAGGTGGAAAATAGAACTCAGCTTCACAGCAGGTGGAGATACATCAGTAAGTGCTATAAAAACACACGGCATACAGCTTATTGGTGAGTAAATTATCCATCAATGATGAAACCCATAACCAACACTTTGAGAACATATTTACTATGCACATTTTTATCCCTACTAATTTACTTTATTGGATCAGCTTGCTTGCTTGGATACAAATGGAGCCAAGTTGGACTATCTGTCATTTATGTAATTTTAGAGTCAAATCAGTAGATTTTATGTATTAAAGAAAGCAGTTCTGAGCTGAGCACTGGTGGCTCACACCTGCAATTCTAGCTGCTCAGGAATTTGAGCTCTGAGAATCTTGGTTCAAAGATAGCCCAGGCAGATAGGTCAAAAAATCCCCAATTAACCAGTTAACCAATTAACCAATGAACAAAAAGCCAGAAGTAGCAGTATGGCTTAAGTATTAGAGCACCAGTCCTAGTACTGGCAACAAAAAACCCACAACATAAACACCAAGAAGAAACAGAAACCAGTGTCTTCATTACTCAAAAAAAAAAATCTTAGAGCTTTCTTTAGCAGTGGTCCAGGAATAAAGCTTAAACAGAGCAGAAAAAAAGATCCGTGGCATTTCTGCATAAAGGAAAGCTCAAACTGCCAAGTACTGGTTTCTAATTTCCCTCTTTGTATAAGAGGAAAGAAAACAGGGAAAAGCAGTGACATATCTGATTCACAGACCACATACAGATTTCCAAGTCCTTTTAGGTGGGCTGATTCTCATCGGCTCCTCACAGCAACTCCGTCTGCTGCTCTGCTTTTCCCAACCCCCAAGGCAAGGAGAAATGGATTTGTCTTGCCTTGGGTCTCAAATTGAGGAATCGGGAAGGAGAAAACTGTTGGCCAAGACTTTGGATCCGACCTAATTTTCTCTCCACTATATTTATTAAAACCTTCCTGTCTGGGGAAATCCGGGGACAAAGTCATCTCAACTACAGATATTAAAGCCCAGGTGATAATTCTAGTCTCTAGAACACCCAAGATGCAGCACTTCATCCCCTGCTACTGGCTGGGAGCCCATAACACCTCACCTTGTCCACACTCCAGCCACTGGCAGGTATGGTTGGTGGGCAGTAGGAGGTAGCCACTCAGGCATCGCGTGCAGACCTGTGGGCTTTGGCAAAGCTCACAGTTGTCTGGGCAGGGCAGGCACGTATGCTCTTTGGTGGGGTAGTGACCCAATGGGCAGCTCTCTCGACATTCCCCTTTGTATAGGAGACGCTCTTGGCCGTCTTTGTCTGATCAGTTATAGAAGCAAGGCCAAGAAAGGGGAAAAAAAAAACATGTATAGAGTCAGTCATGGAAGCTAATATTATGGAAGACATTTTATTTTATTTTTTTAAAGAAACAACTGAATGCTTTTGTTCCTAGGGGGCCAGAAGTATAAGAATGTACTTAATGAAAAGTGCAATATCTACAATACCCTGGTTGAAAGTTTTCCTTGCAGGAAATCATTTTCCACTGTTTTATATATTTGAGTGAACGGGGATGTCATTGCAAAACCACAAACCATGCTCTGTGAATAATGACAATTCAAAATGGGTTTAACTTTCCCAAAGGGCTCTTTTGGTATCTGTGGAACTTCTCAGACTTAGGCATTACAGTGGTTCCTAGAAGAATAAACACATGCTTCATGATAGATATGCTTTCCGAAAGTACAATTTCTATAAATGACTTGGAATTGTTATCAAAATCGTCTGCATTTTTGTAAAGTTACCAGTTGCCATAATGGCAACCGTATTGAAGCACTAAAACCCAAGCATGCCTTTTGGCCTCTTTTACATGAATTCCTGAAGGTCCTGATTCCTGCCAGCTTGGGGCTTCAATTCCTCCCAAGCATGACAGACAATGAAAACTGGTTCCTAGAGGGAACTGAAAAATGGAGTCAGTTACAAAGCATTATAGCTAATGACAAAGGATTGTAAGCAGTCTCAAATATAAAAAACAACACTAAGATGAATTCTATACACACATGTAGAGATTGCCTACTTCCATTCTACAGGGTGCACGTGTGTGTGTGTTGTGTGTTTGTGTGTGCACATGTGTGTACACATGGGTGTGTGTGCTTGCAGGCATGCTGAGTATGCAACAGGGTATCCATCTTCTTTGAATCACATTTCCCAAACGTTCTCACTTCTGAAGAGAAGCCAATCTGTGTTACTCAGAAGAACTGAGTCTAGTGTTCATGCATTGGGATCTACCCCACGGAGATCCCAAACCACTGATCTTCAAGGTGCAAAGCTGCTGAGTTGGTGGATGGAGATTGCACTAACCCCCTGTGGCAAGTGCAGAATTGAAAGGTAATATACTGTTTACCGGCACGATGTGAACCGGCAGATACTATTTCTTACTTACAGCTGTGGCACGCTCAAACAGTTCTCTTTCATTTTTCATATTGACAGAAGCTTTGCTTCAAATACAATCCTACCAACATATTGTTGACTTATGTCCTCTCTTTTCTGATGGAAATCTCATACCCAAGTATGCTGGCTCTCAAGAAAATAAAGAGGGCTTCTACAAAGGTGGTAGAACAAAACAGATTCAACTCTTGCTCTGTTCGACCCCCAAAACACCATCTCCTAAGCTGGAAGGAGAGAGTCTAGGAGTTATACTGTGCCACGTGGTTCTGGTCTGGCTACAGATCAATGTTTTGGATCACAAAACTATAATCTGGCAAGACATGAACCCTCAGGAGACCACCGAGGCTCAATCTTCCAAAGTGTGCTCTCAACCCTGCTCCCCACCCTGACTGTTCATGAACAATGGTGTTTTTTCAGTGCGCCACACTCTTCACATGTGGACGGGACAACATGATGGCCAGTCCTGGCTACTCTGCACCCCTACCCCTTCACAGGATATCACCTCTCCATCCAGAGGCTTGAGCACAAAGTCTACTTCCACTGACTTCTAAATATATATGGGCTGCATGGTTGCTTGAGTGAGTGAGAGAGTGAATTCCTATTTGGCCATGTTTAGCTTCTTCCACAGAGAGCATCTGCTGAATGAGGGTTGGCTACGCAATGGTCCCTCCAGCAAGCCTCCTCTGCTCACCACAGCGGCAAGCAGTGCTGCTGCTGAGCCCATGACAAGATTCTTAGCATCCATACGCTATTTCTTCTTTTGTAAAGATGAGGACACACTTCCTTAGCAGGCTGTGAACTTGAAGGGGAGCATTGTGGAAACTCCGATTGCTGTTGTTATGACATAACATTGGGCATAACGGCTTACTTAAGGGAAGGAAAACTTATTTTGGCTCAAGATGCCGGAGTTTTCAGTCCATCATGACCGAGTAGAACAGAGCAGCTCCCTTCATGGGGGCCAGGAAGCAGAGAGGACTGGGGAAGAAGATGGGCAGGCAGAGGGGGAGGAAAAGGAGGAAGGAAAAGGAAGAGAGAGACAGAGAGAGAGAAGCAGAGAGGGAAAGGAGAGAGGGAGGGAGATAGAGTGAGCGGGCTAGAGAATGAAAGAAAGCAGCAAGAGAACAAACGCTCATTCTGATGGCTTTCTTCTGCTCCTTTTGTTCCATTTGGGCTCTTAGCTTGGGGTTGTTGCTTCCATCCCCCCTCCATCCATTCTCTCTGGAAACATCCTCACAGATACCCCCCCCCCTTTATGTGCTTATTTATCTCATAGGTGCATATTAATCCAATCAAGTTAATGATAAATATTAACCATCAGAAGCATCATGTGACCATTCATTATATTTTCCATGGTACCGTGTATGTGGAGTGTTTCAGGTAGCAGATTTGAAACAACCTTTCAAATAGAAAATATGGAAGGAATACCAAAAGCACTTTACATAATGTTTGTAAAAGTAGCTGTAAAATGCTTGGAAGATTAGACATTTGTTGAGCACCTACACTTTTCTCTAATTCTGTGCTATAAATGGAGATTTACAATCTTTTACATGGGAGAGTCACTTGAAATGCCAACTTTCCCTCTTCTACCTCCTCCTCTTCCTTCTCTTCTATGAATTAGAAGTAGCTTAAAAATGTGAAATGATTGTGTTTGTGTTTTCTAGTTAGTAACAAAGCTGGGACCAGAGCCCAGGTTTTCTGTGTGTTGGTTGTGATGTTCTTTTTACTGAATCATTTATTCACTGCGTTATTTATTGGGCTATTTCTATAAGCCAGATGCTGTGTGCATGCAAGCTTACAGCAGAAATTAAGGCAGAAACCTGTTACTGCTGCTAGGGGGAAGTCTTATGGGGACACAGATATCAAAGGTTATGAGGCTGTGAATGGTAAGTACAAGCCTCCACGGGTGGTCGTGTGAAAGGGACCTAACCTAGACCAGCAGCAAGGCTGTTCCTATGGAAATTAAATCTGCACCAAAAGATGAAATGGGAAGAATTCAGTCATAAATGAGCGGAGATCCCTGAGGGAACCCATGAGGGTAAGGAGTGGAAAAGTAAGAACAGTCTGTTTAATTGGTTTACTATCCTAAAATTGCTTTATGGTTTTGCCTCACTTAATTTTCCATAATAATGCTATAAAAGATAGTTATCATCACCTTCAAGATGAGGAGGGAAACAGCAGGAGATAAAAAAAATGTTGCAAAGGTATACTGTGTTTACGTATGAAACATAAAGCCATGCTTTTCATTGTAACCACAACTGGTAGTATCTACTGAGAGTTCTACTCATTCATTTTATGAATCCATTTCCTTTCATTTTTCCTGTTTTACTGAGAGCAAAAATAGAGATAAACAATTCTCGTCCACTAGAAGGATGATTTCAGTCTGATGACAATGGCAAGTAAAAACCTTGGAGTCACAAAAGCAGCACAAAACAAAACCCCCCTTGGGGTCAGTACGAGGACCGGGGATGGCCAGAACTTGGAGAAGCACTGAGCCGCTTTCCTGGTGCTCCAGCTCCCGAGATTTTTGGAAAGGCAGACCCAGTGTTGTGAGATCTCCCAACTTTTCAACAGAAACAACCACCTAACAAAAATCCAAGTTCTTACTTGAAATTTAAATGTAGTTCCCACTGAAAATAGGGTAAACAAACTACGAATGATAGATCTCAAGCTGCACAGCCCAGAGACAGAGGAACACTTGGAGAATCACATTGGGATATGAGTCCCTATTTGTCAGGAGCTGAGACCTTCAGGGCTCTGATGACACCTACGACCCATAGCTCAGCTCTGAGGAGACTTTACAAAGCCCCTGATACGTTCTCTCTTTTAAACAAGACCAAATGTTTCCTTTGATGCCCAGCATCCTCTTGGATATTAGCTTTACTGCGTTTGTCATGCCTGACATTGTGTTTCTACGTCTTGTCTCTCTCCTTCACTTAGCCTCTCTGTGATAACGCGAATAAGATTTTCATGGCCAGGAAACAAGCAGCGAATTCCGGGTTGTGTGATCAACAGCTGTATCTTAACCCTCAACACCTTCTATAATCAACCCAAATCCTGGCCATCCAGAGAATGGCTTTGAAATGAGGGGGAGTGGGCCAGCTCCCTCACCTGCTCTGCAAGAGGTGCAGTTGGAGGATCCACCTCCTTGGCATCCTTGGCAGGTGTAGTGGCATGGGCGGCATTGGTTGTTAAATTCAAATTTCCACGAAGGACAGGTCAACACGCAGTGGCCACTATCGAGGACCCTGGAGGAAAAGCAGATGTTTAGAATCCGTCAGAGTGACTTCCCAGAAGGGCTGAAGAATCAGAACATGTGGTGTTAGTGTTTCACTGTACAGATGTGGTTTCCTTGTTCCAGACACGAGAGGGATTCCTGGGACTCATCAGCTCAGAACATGTGAATCATTAGTCACGTACCCATTCTTGGCCCGAGATTTGGATCCCACAGCAGGCCAGCCAGAAGCTGGCTGGAGATCTCATCCTGCATCTGGTTCCAGATTTGCTAGCGGGTGCCCACGGGGCTTCAACCCACATTGCAGGCCCCAGTCAAAGCCGACCATCAGCGAGATGGAAGCGCTGAACTCTCAAGAGGTTGAAGGAGCCTCTAAATCCTGGGGCCTGGGGAAAACACTACTGTGTCTTCAGTTACCAGCACGCCCAAACTTGGCAAAGGAAATAATGGCTTCAAGGGCCTTTGAAGAGAAGGATGAAGCATTATTCTGTAAGCTTAGGTGCTACTTACAAATTTAGCCTATGTATGCTGCAAATTTTGACATAGAGAGTACGGCAGTCTTGACTTTCTGGTCATGCTTGTGAACACCTGTAGCTGCACTGCAAATAAGTTAGTACCTGGGCTTCTGAAATCTTTGGTTTTCTATACTTACCAGGTACATCATAATTTCATTGCTAATATTTTCATGCTTTTGCTTCTTTGTTCCTTGCCATGTAAGAGCAAATGGGATTCAATCAATTGTGTCTAAGAATTCTGCTTAGAAAAATATAAAACGTTGATTCATTAAATGTAGAATTCAGGTGGAGAAGGTGTATAGGTGGAAAGACCTGCAGACTACCTCTGGAGTGTCTAATTTAAAAGGGTTCCAAGGAAGGGAGCTGAGAAATTGGATTCCTGACAAATCCCAGGTGATACTAACACTGTTGGACCAGAGAGCATACTTAAAATATTCCTTTGTTACTTGGTGTGTGTGTATGTGTGTGTGTGTGTGTGTGTGTGTGTGTGTGTGTGTGTGTGTGTGTGTGTGCTGGTCCTGGGGCTTAAACTCAGGGCTTACGTGCTATCCTTGAGATTTTGTTGTTGTTGTTCAAGGCGTATGTTCTATCACTTGAGCCACAGCTCCACTTCATTGGTGGTTTTTTGGTGGTTAATTGGAGCTAAGAGTCTCACAGGTTCAAGCTGGAGCTGGCTTCAAACCACGGTCCTCAGATATTAGTCTCCTTAGTAGCTAGTATTGCAGGCACAAGCCAGTGGTGTTTGGCTATTTATCCATTTCAAGGTAATTTACTATTGGGCATTTACTATTGGTCTTGGGGCTTGAACTCAGGTTCTTGTGCTTGCTAGCTAGGTTCTGAACCGCATAAGCCATGTTCCTAGCCTGATTTTAGTTTTTCATTAGTATGCATTGATTGTCCATATTAATGAGGTATGTTTGATGCTTCAACACAAATGTAGAGTATATGCCAACCAAATCAGGGTAATACTTCCTTCTCCTTATCATTTCTTCACGATTGGAGCTTTTGAGTTCTTTTCAGATTCCCACTGTAGTTCAGGAAATCAGAACTTATTCATTTGCCTACATTTCAGTATCTTTTATCACCTCTTCTCTGCCCTGCCCCTCTCCCTCACCATTCCCAGCCTCTAGTAATTACTACTCGACATGCAGATGAACTTTCTTTTAGTTTCTTCCTAGGCTCAAGAACATTGCAGTTTGTGTCTTTGTATGTCTGGCTTATTTCACTTAACATTATATCATTCAGTTCCATTGATTTTGCTGCAAATGACAGGATTTTCATTCTTTATGGCTGAATGACATTCCATTACATATATACAAGTTTTCTTTATTCATTCATCTGTGATGGGCACCTGGGATGATTCCATGTTTAGCCATAGTGAAACGTGTTTCAGTAACCACCGCATCTTTGCTATACCAATTATGTTTGCTTTGGCTATATGCCAGCAGTCCTGTAACATACTAAGAACTTGCTTTGAAAATCTCTGCTAATGACAATCTGGATTACAATAGAGTCATCCAAATGTTTTCTCAGTAATACAGGTGATGCCAAACTAGCATCTCCGGGAGCTTCCTTAGAGTAGTAGTTACTGTGTAAATTGTGAGGTTAACACACAGCATGCACAGGCCAAAGAGGGTGAAGCTCCCCCCAGCCCTCAGCCAGGCCTGAGAACCTGAGTCCTGGACCAATCAGGAAAAGAAATGTTTCCTTCTCTCTCTTCCACTTTCCTACAGGCAGGCTGGGCAGGACACAACAGGCCAGGTGGAGGTAATTTGTGCCTGGGTTGATACTTCCTTGACTAAACCCTATTATTTTCAAATCTAGAGCAAACTCTGAGTTGAGGGGTGGGTTGTTTATACCCCAAGTTTTCAGGAAACTAAGAGCGAGATGAGGAATCTTGAACAAGAAGCATTTTTCATCCCATCCTTTCTGATACCCTGAAACTCTTTGCCATTAGCCATTCATCAACAGAATGAGACGTAAGTCAGCATCCATAGAGAGAAAGCTGCTCTACTCCTGGATTCCAAGTCTCTCAGATTTTAGTCATCATACCAGTGCCACTAGAATGAACAATACTTTGGCCTTCAGCAGGGCACGGATGTCTAGACTTAAGCATGTTGTACATATCTGGCTATCTGTGTTAAAGCAGACTTCTCATGACCAGTGGAAAATATGCCAGTCCCAATCTGGCTTTGGGTTTTGAGTTAAAAGATTTTTTTTAAAAAAGAAATAATTTGGATGAGGTTTACTTCATCACTACAACAGCAACAGCCCCCAGCCTTCCTTGTAAGACAAACTATAAGAGCACTTTACCCAAGGAAGGAACTCAAGATTCTACCGAAAGGGAGAAAAGGGAAAGTTTATCTCGGGATGGAAAGGGGAATCTTTCCTTGGTCAATTCAGTTGAGAAGGAGATGTAAGGTACATCAGCATTAAACCCTTTCGAAGAGAGATGATAGATAGGGATAGGTTGGTTTAGGGGAAGACATTTCTCTTTGAAGAGGTGATGTTCTCAGTGGCAGCCATTAGAAACCAGGCCAATATAGCAGAGAGCAGAGGGAATCAATGCTTCCAGGTTTGTGCAGGAAAAGAGGCCACTGACTTGACTTTAAGGAAGTACCAAATGTATAATTGTGCAAACTACCCTGGTCCTGCATGCTAAGGAAAGCAGAGGCAATATACTCAATTCTGTAAAAGCCCAATTCTTCCTAAAGATAGAAAGACAAGGAAAACTAACAGGTATCACTGATGACAATGGATTATATCACACCCACGGGATTCTCCATTCCTTCTTAAGAAAATTTGCTAAGAAGCTTGAAGAAAAGTCCCATTTCAAATGGAAACAACTTCTACAGACCCCAAGTTGTGGAGAAGAACAGAAACTTGGCTCCTCGAAAGCAGAAGATGGGGCTGATAACGCATTTTCTTTAAAGTATTAAGGAATCTTTGAGATCACCAGTCATCTACCGTGTGGATTTCTGAGATGTTTAGCCAAGCGTGGCTCTGTGGAAGAGCTTTTTCTTTCTGACTCGTGCTATTTGAATAGGGTTTATAGCACGAAAAAAGGTGGTTGAAACCAATACTAAGGCAAAGGTGAAATCAATATTGTTAGGGAGCATTCCAGAAACCCTCAGTGCACAAGCACGTGTGTGTGTGTGTGTGTGTGTGTGTGTGTGTGTGTGTGAGAAGTATAATAGGAAAGCTAGCAAGTCAGGGTTCTCTGGTCCCTTGTGCCAATTGTTGGCTTGACCTAATTATCTCACCACAAGGGTACTTAATGTAACTTCTTGCTGCTTTAATATTCTAACAATACATTAAAAACAAACTTTTGATCTTTGTATCACTGAAGTCGGTCAAGCAAAATACTTAAGGCAGGGTGAGAATTTAAGTGCTTTCAGAGAGCTCATTGGCTCTCGATCTCTGTAGGGACAGGGCTGGGGAGCCAGTTTGGGCAGTGAGGACCACGGCACCCCAGAGCTTGGTGTGTTAAATACAGTGGCACACTTTCTTCCTCCAAGTTTCTAAATCATCCTTAACAGCTACACCTAAAGCTTTACAGAAGTGGTCCTCTGTGCCAAAGCTTTGCAGAGACTAGGAGTGTGGGTTATTTTGTTGATCTCCATTTGCACACAGCCTAGATCCATTTTCTGTCCTGCTGTGCCCTGGAAGTGATCACATCCTGCATTACATGCCAAACCCAATGATTCTCACGTGTCCTTGGCCTTTCCCATGATCCTCCAGTTAGCTGCAGAGAAGGGAAAACATCAGGAGCGGAACTGAGGTGGGAGGAAGAGAGATCTGAGGGTATTTATTTCCGTCTCACACCCGCCCTTGTTTCCTCCATTCGTGGTGAGGCAGAGGGTGTGTCCCTCACAGCTCCAGCCTCATCCACAGGTCCGGCTCTTGCTTCACAGACAGTGTGTTCCGATCTTTCCACTATTGCTTGCTCCTGGGTGTGCCACGATCTCTTGACCAAGTCCGGGAGGGTGTCCTAAAAAGCAGCTTGACTTTCTGTCTAATTCAGGGTGGACACAAAAGCAGACATTTTTTTTATTTGTTCTGGATGTGATGGTTTGAGTGTGTGCTTCAAAGTTCATGTGCTGGAAAATTAATCCACAACACGCAAGTGTGGTGAGCTGGGGTTTTGTAAGGGGTGATTTGGCCACGGAGAATCTTCCACCATGGATGGAGCACATCCGTGTACGCTCTAGTTTCCTGCAGTGGGGTAATGTGGGATAAAGGGCCTGATCATCGGCCAGTTCTAGGACTTCTAATCCTTCAGAATGGTCACCCAAACTTGTGTGGTTTATAAATTACCCAGTCTCAAGGCGTGTGGTATAGCAGTACAGAATGGACTAAAACTCCCATCCAGGAAGCACTTTGGAAAACACTTAAGGAAAATATTTTGCCAATTTTTCAAAAGAAACAAGTAAGTCCACATCACCATCTTTCCATATAGTCTCTTTCTTTTCATCTGCTCAACTCCCTTCAGGGAAAATACTGGAATAATGAGAAAAGAAATCAGGTAGTTGATTGACACGCTATGATGCCCTTCTTGGACACATTTGTAAATAATGGACATCAACGAAAAGAGATGGGGAAATAAGTAAAAGGCTCAGAGGAATGAGAAGAAAATTGTTCCTGGGAATAAGATTTTCTTAAGAAGATAACCTGGTTTAATATCCATGTAAATTTTTTCTTTCTTCACAAGTCAAAGGCAACCACATAAAAGAAACTACCTAAATGACCCAGCAGGCTTACTTCTGATCTGCTTTCAATAGCCTAGATTTTTTTAATCTCTTGAGACAGAATCTTGGAATGCACGTTAGGCTGACATCTCTACATCTCAAGTGTCAGTAGGCCCAGTGATAGCCCCGATTAATTAATTAATTAATTGTGCCAGTACTGGGGCTTGAACTCGGGTCTCAAGACTGTTTCTCCACCACTGGAGCACACTTCCACTTCTGGCTTTTTGCTGGTTAATTAGAGATAAGCTACTCAAAGGCTTTCATGCCTGGACTGGCTTCTTTTTTTTTCTTAAATTTTATGGATTTATGTGTTGAATAAATTCAATAAACTGATATGCACTGATCATAAGCACATATAAACATTATAAATATTAGATTTTTAAGGAGTAAATTCTTATTTATTAAGTATAAAGTACTGTTATTTTCCCAAAATATAGAGTTGAATTTCAACAAAACTTAATAAAATAAGGCACAAGGTTTAACAAGCAAATTTTACAGCGATTAGTTAATATAAGCTCACTATATATATATATATATATATGTATATTCTGGTAGGAAGAATGTAAGGGAGTTTGAATATTCTTTCTAAAGGATTTACATTATGAGGTAACATTTGAATTTGGCACAATAAGCCACATTTTATCCAGAAAATAAAACTTGATCTAGCTGTGATCTTCAGGTCTCAGTTTCCTGAGTAGCTAGAATTACAAGTGTAAGCCACCAAAGCTGAACCAATTTCTCAACGGCCATTTATACTGGCGGAAATATTTTCTCCTTTCTTCTTTCCGGTGATCCAGGGAGCATGAGGACACTGCAGTGTAACCCGGATGTCTGTGCCTGCCTGGTAAACAAGGGCTAAATCGTTGGTGAGGTGCAGAGTCGGAAGAGAAATGGGACCTCCTTGTGGTAATGTCTGTATCTTAAAAGTAAACTCCAAAGCTGCTATGGGGCATAAATTCAATATTTAGAAGTGTGGTTGCTTTAAAGAAACATTAAAAATATTCTCATGGTTGGCCTTAAAATTTTGGGGGAAGGGGGCCTCAATTCTTAAGACTTTTGTCCTCTTCCTGACTTCTTTTTCCTTTTACGCCTTCTTTCCTCTCACCCTTCTCTTCTCAGAGAGCCAAATCTATGAAATTGATTACACGGTCAAGTTCAGCAAATACACGTCTGTAGAACTGTCATGATGCGGTGGTCACAGTAGGGAATAAAGAGGAAGGTGTACCGCACCCCTGCTCAGAAGGCAATTAGAGTCCTGAGAAAGAATGAGGAAAGGGGCCATGTATTCTGGAGAAGAAAAGCCACACCTGCCACCAGAGCGTCTGGAGAGAGACACCGCTTCCTACATGGTTAGCTGAGTGATAAGGCCAATCATTCAAACACATAGTAGCTAACAATGACTAAGCCCTTGCATCAGAGATTAGATCTGCTGAGTTCTGAGGACTGGGTCTCCTACTCTCTCCATTAGAAATGCCCAGAGTCATGTAGTGGAACATCCATTCTTAGCTATTCCTTGGATTATATTATTTCCATTCTGTAGCTATTCATTGGATTATATTATTTTTTCCCTTGTTGTACAGAAGCGTTTAAGGCAGGTGCAATCTCATTTTTCAGTTCTTCTTACTTCCCGAGTAATTGAAGTTCTATTCAGAAAAGCATTACCTGTGCGTGTGTCTTCACGGGTTTTCTCCCAGATGTTTCAAAGTTCATTCATTCCTTTTCAGTTAAGTTTTTCACAAGGGAAGAGAACGGGGCTCTAGTCCCAGTCTTCCTCAGGTGGCTATCCAGTTTCCTCAGCATCATTTGTAGAAGAGACTGTCCCTTCTTCAACACAGGGTTTTGACCTCTTTGTCAAAAATCAAATGGTTCATTTCTGGATCTTCTGTTCCATGGATCTATGTGTCTTTTTTGTTGTTGTTGTTGGTCATGGGGCTTGAACTCTGGGACTGAGCCTGGGCGCCATCCCTGAGCTCTTCAGTTCAAGGCAAGCACTCTACCACGTAAGCCATAGCACCACGTCTAGCTTTTTCTGCTTATGTGGTGCTGAGGGATTGAACCCAGAGCCTCATGAATGCAAGGCAAGCGCTCTACCACTGAGCCACCTTCCCAGCCCCCATGTGTCTGTTTTTATGCCAATACCATGCTATGTTTTATTCCTATGATCCTGTAGTATAATTAGAAGTCAGGCATTTTTATACCTATTGTATCACTCTTTTACTCAGGATTATTTTCTCTATTCAGAGTTGTTTATTCTTTCAAATGAATTTTACATTTCTTTTTTTTTCTATTTCTGTGAAGAATGCTATTAGAATTTTGGTGTGGATTAAATTGGATGTATAGATTGCTGTAGGTAGTGTGGACATTTCCACAATATTAATTCTGCTAGTCCATGAACATAGGAAGCCTTTCTATCATCTAACATCTTCAATTTCTTTCTTCAAGATTGTATAGTTTTTGTTGTAGAGATCTTTCACCTCTTTAGGCTTATTCCAATTATTTAATTTTTGAGGCTATTGGGAATGGTATTATTTTCCTGATTTATCTCTCAGGCTGGTCATTATTAATATATATATATAATATACTGAATTTTTAATATTGATACTATAAACTGTTGCTTTGCCTAAAACCTTTATCAACTCTAATAGGAGCTCTCTCTCCCTCTCTCTCTGTCTCTCTCTCTCTCTCTGTTCATGAATAGTCTTTAGGATCTTTTAAGTATACAATCATATCCTCTACAAATAGTGTTAACTTGACTTCTTCCTTTCCTATTTGTATCCCTTCTATTTTTCTTGCCTTATTGCTCTAAGAATTCTAGCTTTATATATTGAATAAGAGTGAAAAGAAAGGACACCTATGTTTTGTTACTGACTTTAGAGGAACTAGTTTAAGTTTTTCCCCATTTAGGACAATGTTATCTATAATGTAGCCCTTATTGTATTGAGGTAAAGCATTATAAATTAAATGTCAAAAGAACAAACAATCCAATTAGTAAATGGGCAAATAAATTGAACACAGGTCTCAAAAGAAGCACAAAGGGCTAATAAATACATGAAGAAATGTTCAAAATCCTTATTCATGAAAGAAATGCAAATCAGAACTACACTGAAATTTCATCTTTCCTTAGTCAGAATGGCAATCAACAAGAAAGCAAACACACAAAATGCTGGTGATAATAGGAAGTAGGGACCTCAATATTGTTGACTGTAAATTAGTGTAGCCACTATGGAAATCAGTGTGGTGGTTCCTTAAGAAATTAGCGAACTACTATATAATCTTGCTATACGCAAAGAAATGTAAGTCAGCATACAATCGAAATGCCTGTACACTAATGTTTATAACAGCATTGTTCCCAATAGCCAAAGCATGGAATTAATCCAGATGCTCATCATATTCATAAACTGATGAATGGATAAAGATAATGTACATATATATTATACATATACATCATTTTATCCATTTATATATAATGTGTGTGTGTGTGTGTGTGTGTGTGTGTGTGTGTGTGTGTATTCAGCTTTATTTACCCATAAAGAAGAATGAAAGTATGTCATTTGCAGGAATATGGATGGAACCAGAGATTATTGAGGAAATAAGGTGAAATAAGCTAGAATGAAAAAGACAAACAGGGCATGGTATCTTTCATATGTGGAATCTAAAATTTAAAAATTGATTATAACAATGTAGAGGCTGTTTTAGTGTAGGGTCCAGTGGGATGGGAAAGGACAAAGGACATGGCAAAGTGGAGGTGAAGATGGTTGACATGCTTTACAAATAGGTATGGAAATAGACTAGTGAAGATGGTTAAACCTTGTTTAGAAAGGGAGGGAGGAATAAGAAAGGGAAACTGAGGTGGTGATTTTCATAAAAGTACATTTTACCCACACATGTACAATTGTATTTATATATAATGAAACTACTTGTACAAGTGACACTAATTGAAAAGTCACTTTAAAAAGAGCATACCTGGTGTATTAGCATAGTTTCTATTCCTACATTCACTGAGTATTGAGTGCAAACACTTCCAAGTACTGGAGATACTCAGGTGAATAGCTCAAGAGCTGTATGGTCTAAGGAAGAGGTGCATTATAACCAAATGTGCTCTGAACAAAGCTTATATAAAACAGGACCTAAGAAGAGAAGGTTAATTTTGCTTGGAAGTGGTCAGAAATGGTTTGACAGGACAATTTACCTTTGAACGATTTGGTCAGGAGATGGAAGTAATTGTTGAGAGATGGAAATGCAGAAAGGAATGAGATTCCAGGTATCAAAAGGGGCCTCAAAGCCACCATTTACACGATCAAGAAAACCCTTCTAGTGTCTAGGGAATTGGTCCTTTCAGAGAAAGGGGAATTATGGGAGAAGATGCGAGGGAGATGGCTAGACCCAGGAGGATTTGTGTGTCTTGGGCCGGCGTTTGTCTTTCTGTCCTGCAGGGTACCTCTGAGGTGGTTTACACCTTTTGTCTCCAGACTGGAATCCGCTCTCCTCACCCCCCCAGGAGATAGTAGGAGCTGGCTCACCTGGCCAGGGGGCAGCTGGTGCAGTCTTCCTGGGTGGGCCCCCGGCACGTGGCACACGAAGGTTCACAGGCCTGGCAGCGGCCCTGCTCATCAAGGTATTCTCCTGGGGAACAAAATCCCACTGTTTACTTCATTTCTACATGACAAGTCTTCCTTGAACAGCCTCTGGCCGGTCCTCTATCATGACCTTGCATGAACAATCGCTCCTTCCTCAGGAGCCCCAGAAGTGACAAGCTGACACTGTTGCACGGATCAGCATGTGCTACAGAGTTTAGAAGTAGAGAAGGCCAAAAAGGTTTTCCACCAGGCCCACTCACAGAGTTCTTACTGACTTTCCCATGAAGAGCCGAGGCCTCAGAGTCCAACAGAGCCCTGATGAGGACTTCCCCACTGGGGAGAGAGGGATGGGCTGGCATTTGGCAGGCATGCGCTCCATCTGAGTTTTTGGAAAACTAACAGCAAAGAGAGCATCAGGGCATTTGTCCTCTCACAGAGAGGTTATCATTTCCAAGGAAAAACACACAGGAGACCTTGCCACAGAGGCAAATTTCATCTGGCCCATTTCTTTTGCACGTTTTGGAAAGGACTCTCCCTTGGCAGAGGGGGTGGAGGCTGACCTCACGGAGCGCAGTGGTCCAAGGGTGGGCCCTGCACGTTGAATTCAACCCCCGCTTCCACGCCACACTCTTCCCTCTCTGCCATTGCTTTAACAAATCAATCTGCTTCCTCAGTCAAATGCAGAAAGCCACATCTTTGTGGGGGGGATGGGGGGTGGTAGAGGGGTGAAGCTTAGACAATATGTTATGCTCAGGAGAAAATGAATTTTCCGATTTTTGGCAGAGCCCTACCCTTCCCTTGACCCAGAACCCCATCCCCCACCCCCATTTTGACAGGCCTGGGAGCATCTGAAGTTGTTGATCTGAAACCCAGCTGGCGTGCTGAGGTATCCTGACTCACCCAGAGCTTCATCAAACTGTCTTACTGATGCTCCAAGATTTACTGCTGTTTTATTGTAGTTGCATTGAGAAAAGCTCGGAAAACCCAGACTTGACTGGTTGAGGGATGAGAGACATTCTCTCTCCCTTTACAGAGGTGGTACAGTCAGAAAAGGTAAGCTTCACATTCATAAATCTTCCATTTGCTTGAAGTAAACCACAAAGACAAATGAAGGGACAGCTGGAGTTTTCCCTTATCAAAGCGAAAAGGCCTTTTGTGCAGTTATTCGACTAGTTTTGATAACTAAGCAGAAAGGGTATGTGCAGAGTGATACAGACCCTTTTCTAAGTCTAGTAGTTGTTACCAAGGTACAAGGTGAATCAGGAATCTGATACATAGCTGTTAGAATGGAATTCTGTTTCTTCCTTTAGGAGTAGAGTCCTGGGCCCCAAAGCATGGGTATCTACCAGGGACAAAACAACAACAACAACAACAAACAACCTGAGATATGCACTTGGTACCTGCTGGTCCAATGGTTAAGTAGTGACTGGGATCTAGCCCATGTGGCTCTCTCCATGCCTTGCTGTCTGTGTTAACTATCTCTGCCTCTGCAGAGGATGATGCTTTTTCTTAACTCACACTAAAATGTTGAATAGATGCATTACTTTCTTGGCAACTAATAGTCCTAAGCCAAAAAAAGGAGGGGGACTTACTTCTAGTAGGCGTTGTAATTTCAAGGCAAGATGGTCTTATTTAAACAAGCATCATGTAAATGTAAATTGTGTAAATGTAAATGTAAATTGTGTGGGTTTTCCTACTTTATCTCTTATTTATTACTAATTGTCTCTCCCTTGTTGTCATGGGAGGCACAATCAATTTGGCAGAGTGATTATCAGCCCGTGCACTTGGCACAATTAAGAGCAGAGGATCCAGACTAGAGCTGGTAGGAAGAAATAGACCTTGTCTTCAGGGGCCAATGTAATTTCTGTTCATAGAGAAGTATAGATCTGTCTCGTGTGTGTGTGTGTGTGTGTGTGTGTGTGTGTGTGTGTGTGTGTGTGTGTGTGTGTGTCTGCAGGTTCTGGGGCATGAACTCAAGGCCTGAGTGCTGTCCTTAAACTACTTTCTTGTTCAAGGTTAGCACTCTACCACTTGGGCCACAACTCTAATTTTGGTTGATTTGGTGGTAAGAATCTCATGGACTTTTTTTTTTGCCAAGACTGAGTTTGAACCAACCATGATCTGCAGATCTTAGCCTCCTGAATGTCTAGGATTACAGGTGCAAGTCCCACAATATCTATTTGTGTGTGTAAGCATCTGTGTGTGTGTGTGTGTGTGTGTGTGTGTGTGTCTGTAGTACTGCGGCTTGAACTCAAGCCTTGGCACTTTTCCTGAGCTTTCTGCTCAACGTATCACTCTACTACATTGGCAGCAGCTTCACTTTTAGTTTTTGATGGTTAATTAGAAAGGGAGTTTTACAGGTTTTCCTGGCTAGGCTGGCTTCAAACTGCAATTCTAAGATCTCAGCCTTTTGTCGTCAATATCTTTATATGTCTATATATGCTGAGTGGAAGTGAAATGGAAGTCAGAGAGACCTCAAAACCTAAAGAAAGTATATTCTAAAGAAACCTGGTATGGAGGGGTGGTGGAGATGGGAGGGGGAGATGGGAAGGGATGGGAAGGGAAAACAAAGGAGGAGGCAACAATGCTTGATAAGAATGTTTGATAAGAAATGTAACAATGTTTGATAAGAAATGTACTCATTTCCTTGCCCATGTAATTGTAATCCCTCTGTACAGTATTTTAACAATAATTAAAAAAAAGAACCTGGGCTCAGAGAAATTTCTTAATTCATCCATCTATTTTATGGATGGTTTTTGGATAGCAAATACAGGGCTGGCACTAGATGAGATTCAGAGACATGTGAATTTGAAAGGTATTTAAATGTGAGAGGTGTTGGGTTTCCAAAGAGTTTAGAGACGAATGATTTACTAGGAAAGAGTTACGACTCAAACACTAGCCATGTACCTTCTACTTCCTCAGTCTAAAGATCAAGATGAGCAAAGATGCATGGAGCATGAGGAGACCTGTGCAGACGGACAGACCCAGGTGATCGCTTTGTCTTGGTGTCAGTGATGCACCACTGTAATAGAATCATGATGTAGCAGGCCCCAAACTAGATGGGATTTTCTTAAGGATCTCTTGCTCTGTGAAATCAAAAGCAGCTTACGTGATTCTGAGAGTTTTTAACATATATCTGCACCCAACACCTTTCTGATTACTGATGGTGCATGGCTGGGTCAGCTGAGGGTTACTAGGGTTATGATGGGACTTTCATGCTTTCTTTCATTTGCCAACACTGTGACTTGCATATCCAGTGGATATTCTTGATCAGCTCAATGATCCTAGTTCTAGAAGTATCCACAAAATGCCACTGAGCATGACATCCAGATTTCAGATAAATCCTCCAAACATAACGACCCACGCCTGTATGAGTCTCCATTACCCAGGTGGCTCTTATGATTCATAACTCCCCCTCCCCACCGAGGCCGGGTCCGACCATCTCAAAACATAAGTTCCACCTATTCTTGCTGGGAAAGAAACCTTTTAATTTGCTGAGAAGGTATCTGAGTTCCCTCAGCACCCATTTTTCTCAATGTCAAAATAACTTCTTATCTTCTTAACTGTGTTCCTATCTCCTGTCTCTGAGAAATGGTAAATCTCTCTCCCCTCCACTGTCAACTCTCCATTGAATGGAATTCATCTTCTGTCCTACAGTCTTTTGTCCTCAATCTCTTCTTTACAGCTTCCATTGTCTTCCATTCTACCACATTTCTCTTCTAGCCTAACACCTTTCCCAGCTCTTCCCTTTCCTGATAAGTGACCCTTCCAACTTGTTTTCTTTTTCCTGCTTCTTGGAAGCAAGATGGAGAACACTTTACGACCTTGAGGCTTATGTAAGAGAGTCAGGGAAGGACAGCTAGCTGTTTCCTCTCTCCAGTCTGCACGCCTCTTCAGTTTGGAGCAACTTCTGGCTTTGCAACAGACGACAGCGGCGGGCCTGCCCTAATTCTGGTATTATGTACATAAACAACTGCACGTAGCCGTTACACACACAAGTTTTCCACAGCACATTTGGGATGAAGGAAGTGGCATTCCAAGGACGTAGGGAAGTTGGTGATTTTTTGTTGTTGTTGTTGGAACGGCAAATTCGTGTCATCTGTCTTCATTGCACAATGAAGTTGAATGTTTATGACAGGAGGCCTATACGAAATTCTCAGAAAGAGCCACTTCTAGCTGAGACAGCGGGACCGGTACTCTGTTCTCCACCTCATCCTACAAGCTCTTCTTTCTGGAGTCTCTGTCTAAATCTTCCCTCCGATCCTCTAATGGCCAAAGGACACTGAGAAAATGGGGCCGTATAGGGAAGAATGAGGCCTTCCAAGGAAAGACCTGGCTTAAGAATCACGACTAGTAAAGTTAGCAATGTACAAGTAAGCTGGGAGCTGGCGGTTCATGATCACAATCCTCAAAAATCAGGAAGTGGAGACCTAAGGATTACACTTCAAGCCAGCGCTGGAAAAGCCAATTAACCAGCAAAAAGCCAGAAGAAGTGGAGGTGTGGCTCAAGTGGTAGGGTGCTAGCTTTAAGTAGAAATGCCAAGAGGACGAGGCCCTAAGTTCAAGCCCCAGGACTGGCACACACCAAAAATGTACGAATAAGTGGCTATCTATGCTTATATCCATTCCTTGATAACACTGCAGAAAACTATCAACAAGTCTGGGTAATGAGCAATTCTTAGGAAGCCATCCACAACATATAAAGGTATATTGCAGCTACAATAACTGTTATATAGTTATAAAACATGATGGAGACTTTTTTAAGGTTTTACATTTCAACAAAAGAAATACTGTTCTACCTTTGATTTATAATAATATTATAACAATTTAGAATGTATGCAAATAGGTATCTATCTTCATAAATGAATAGACACTTAAGTTGAGAAATTTTGAGGGGAATTTAAAGTAACTTTTGGATCAGTTGACTAGCATGGCAGCATGGAAGGAAGGAATCATTGAGTATTCAACTGCTTGGGGTTTTGATCTGGTTATCTATTAAGCCACCTTGAGTGCTGAATTATCTCTAGAGCTCTGTGTGAAGTCTAT